TGTTGTATCACCAATTTGGAAAGTTCCGTGTCGCAATTGCCAAGTGCCACCGAACGTTGGTGTTCAGATATGCGAGCAGCCAGCATTCTGGTAGTCGCTCCTATATAATTGGTGCATAGTCCTGATATTGGATTCTGCAGGGGAACGGAGTATACACCAGATTTTTCCAGGGTGGAAATAGCATCCCTATCATTACATAAGATTCGTCGCAGACATGGTCGTGAGGCAATGGGTAAACGAAATCCATTCTGCCTAAAGATCCGGCAGATCCGGGCCGTGAAGCGTCCACAGTATGGGAGTGAGGGATGGAGCATTGTCTAATCCCTTGGTCTGCGCAATGTGGTGGCAGGGAAGAGAGACTGTATGACTCTATTTTTAACATGGATGTATTTGGAGGTACTAAATCCCGCCGTGTACACCGCTGTGCGGACAGCTTCCAGTTCAGTATTGATAAGTTGTTGTGTCGATGGTAGTAAGAATGCCCGTCTGATCAAGGGAGCTATGGCCGCATTAACACATTGCTTTGGTTGACAGGCTGTGGCCGGTATTATGGGTGGGATATTACCAAATTTGTGATAGACGGAAAACTTCAAGCCTTCCTGGGATTTTTGAATGTGCAAGTCCAAGAAAGCAATTTTTCTCTCAACCTCCTTCTCCCACATGAAGTGTATAGTGGCATACATTTTTGATAANACCAATTTTAAATATTTTAAAATGTTTTTAATTCTAAAATTTAAATCTTATTTATAATAGTTATATTCAAAAAATGGCTAATATCGTTAATGTTTAAATTTAAACGTATGGTTCGAATTCTCTATTCGATTTTGAATTGCCTGAAGACGATGTGCATATTTACGTCGAAAGCGCTCGCAAGAATAAAATATTTTTAATTATATTTAACGCCTCATAGTCTAAAGTTTTGGAAGAAGTTTTGATTGCAATAACGTCATAATTCAAAAATGGTAATTTTTCAGGTGAAGCAATTGAAGTTTAGAGTTTTGGTTTTTGCCTGTGAAAAATTTTTGAAATACTGTTCTCTAATGGTGTTTTATTCTGCGTCTTAATATATTGTCATAGTTAAAGTACATTCAAAGTTCATTCCACCAGTTCTGATTTTATTGCATTTAATTTGCAATATGTACTAAATCTAATTACAATGTATAATCAGGCAATTGTATCTGATAATGTAATTACGAGCTTAATAATGAAAGTGAAATAAATCCTTACTTTTAATAAAATTAATAGGAAAAAACTTTAGAATTTAATATAGCTTTTAGTATATATAAACAAATATAAATGATCAAACCTAATTCAAAAACAACTTAGTAATCATTTTTCATTAAAAAATATATCAACCAGATTTTTGAAATTAGTGACTAAAACAAGTAAAGATTCAAATTATGATGTGAAATAACAGCATTTTAAAGTTTCCATTATTGTTAATATGTATATTCTGCTTTGTACACAGCAATCTGTGACCATAAATATATTTATATATTTAATATTTTTTGATACAATTCATCTTTAAATACTACTGAAATAGTTGTAATGCATTTCAAGCATTGCACATTCTTGAATGAAATGTTTCCTGTAAAAAGTTTATTTTACAAATTATAAATTACACACACACACAACATTTTTCCAAAAAAATTCAGCCAGGCGTGATCCAATAAATCCATAAAACATGATAATAACCAGATAATAGCATAATTCAAACAATCATTTTGTAATTATTTTGCATTAAAAATATATTATCAAACAAATTTTTGGAATATGAAATTAGATTTGAAACAAAATATCAAGCAATCACTATACAAAACTATGTCAAAACATTAGTTGGCTGGATGGTTGAGTTAGTAAAGATACTAGCATGCCATTCTGGAACTCAAGATTGAATCCAGGAATTTTTCATGTGATTTGGATGTCTTGTATATGTCAGGTAATCTCTCTTATCACCCAGCTGCCTCCATTGTGGGCCTGGCCAAACTCATGATAGAAATAGAAATAAGATCATCTTATTGCTCACATAGAACAAAGTGAAGAAAAATAAAAAATTAATATACAGTTTAAGACTATACAATAACCAGTCTTTCAATGTCCCATCTCATGCCTCAGGAAAATAAGTCTTACAGCAGAGTCGATCTTTTATTAGAAGTTGCTCATTCGCCTTACTATGCAAAATGTCACAGGACTTCCTTCCGGTGATGGCACAAATAAAATACACATTTAACAGTAACAGTTAAACAGTAGAAAATTTAATAAAAACATCTTAAGGTATTTTCAGATTAACTAAGTTTCTACACTTAGTCATTTAAAAAAAGAAAAAAGTGCCCTAATAAAATGATATAACTGTTAGTTTGTTGTATCATTCTATTAAATTTAAAAGGATTTAAAATTTTATATAAATATGATATAAAGGCCATAAATTATTTTAATTCATGTAGCTAAGCAATTAACACTATTAAGGTTAGGGTAGATTAATAATAAGCAAATTAAGACACTGATACTTTCAAGGAGAAAGAGTTTTAAAGAGTTAAGGAGCACAAATCCACAATAAGAAAAGGCAACCAGTCAGAGTTAGCAACATACACCATAGAGTAAGGTGTAGATGTCAACCTAGTGATACAATTATTATAAGATCTGCCCATAATACTTCCAGCTTGAGGTATCTGGAAGAACTAGATATATACAAATCAGCACAGGAAGGTAGATTCATAAACTATTAGGACCAGTAGGCAATGTCAAATGCTTGGAAGTCATAATACAGTATAAAGTTCCATAATTTACCCTACATATGGTTTTCCTATATTTTGAAATACATTATATTATTTTATTCTAATATGATGCTAAACAGAAGGGCATTAGAACATTTTTGAAATTACCAATCAATAAAATTTCATAATTTGTGTGTAAATTTTGATTTAAACTTGAAGCTCTGATTCCAATCTGTTAAAAACATCAATGTGTTTGAATTAGTCTGAGGATGACCTTTAAAAAGATTGAAAACATTAGCATTTAAAGTCAGTGTACTGAAATAGCTATATGAATTATCATTGGTAAGTTTGTCATAACAAGATACTTCTAATGTCTAGCAATAAAGCAGTAGAAAAGTAAAAATTTGTCAAGTTTCATAATGCAAATTATAACTATTAAAAGTTTATGATTATAAATTTAATTTAAAATCAATAATATTCAAGAATTTTGGTTATATTAAAAAGTTTTAATTTTTAATATAGCAAAATGATATAGCTTACTTTGATGCACACATTGATTTATTATAGTTTTTAATTTCTGATATGAAGGATGTTGTTTTAATGCCATATCTGTATTGTTTTTAGATATTTCTTTTACTGCTTGCTGAAGAATTGCATCAATATCTAAATTTTCATTCAAATCTTTACTTGCTAACTGTAAGAAATATTAAAATTCAAAATCAGAACAATTCATGAATTTTATAATTAAAGTTTACTCAAAAATGTGTTAATTATGTTTGAACTTTGTAAGTTTTCATCAAATTTTAAAATTACATTGAAAGAAAATAAAGTTCATCTATGATAAAATTTTTTGTTAAAACTTAATTATTATAATATTTTAAAAATTGACAGTTTTGTCAAACACATATTTGTAAATTTCTAGGAATACATAAAATAAAAAGAAAGAATTAAATTAAAAGACATCAAAGATATAATTTTTGAACTTACACATGATCAGTTTTATGGACTTTACTCAACCAACTCTTTGCATGCATCTGTAACAAAGGAAGTGTGTTCATGTGCGTGCATATTGTAAGTTGCCCTGATTAGGGCCAAAAAAGTTGCAAACTTGTGAGAGGAGGGGATCTACTGATGAAAATGGAATGCAGAAAGGTGAAAAGGTTGGCTTGATGTACCAGTAACACTCAGTTTTTAAGGTCCGTCTTTCACTGTGATTTGTATATCCAGGCAATTCCTGGATGTCAAGCCAATGTCAAGCTTTCTTTCCAATTCCAAGGTAAGAATTATTGTTACATGTCTAAAAATCTATTAATGTTTGGTTTAATTTCCGGATGTTAAATATATTGTCAACATATATATGTTGTTGATGTATTTAGATATAAAGGTGGATTTAAGTTTCATCTCTACTAGCTCACTTAGTAGTCCAGCCGTTGGGCTACTAATGGGCATGTCCCTTTTTGTATGTATATGACTTCATTGAAGAATAAGCAATGTCCTAAAGTTAGTGCACACCAAGTGCACTAGAACTCTAGGATGTTGTATCAATGGTAAATTGACTTCTTACAGAATTTTTGCTTGAAGTCCTTAAGTATGATCTAATGTACTCAGTCAGGTCTAAATAGAAAATGGACCTCTTTATCCCTGAAATGGAACTAATTGTTTGACCATTAGACAATATCAACTAAAATCCATACAGATGGAAGGCATCCATAACTCTGCTAGATATATGTATTAACCCCTCCAGCATGACTGTGAAAAGGAATGCACACTACTCCAAAGCATGATGCTTAGACAGTTTGGTTGTGTGGCAAGAGCAAACAAAAGTAAAGCACTTGTAGTAATAAAAAGGTACATGTACAAACAAGTTTTGATGGACTATATATGTAGCACAGATTGCATTATGGTGCTTGATGGATCTGTGGCAAAATTATTAAGTAGGGTACATAGGCTTTCTAAATCTGGCCGAGCCATTCATTAGGAAATATATTGTTCTGGCATATAATATGTTAAGATTGTTTGACTTTGCCAAAACTCAAGAGTGGGAAAAAACTCTGACCAGTTATGGGAAAATATGACTCCCCTTGTTATGTTTATTGTCTCGTAGTTACAACCAAAGTGAGCGCTCAGGTACCGTTCCCGTGATGCATCAGCAACGATCACCACCTGGCGGACTCACTAATATTTTACATTTCAACATATCCAATACAATACACATTACATCTCCCTCTCTTACACAGTCTTTGAAACGCGATGGCCTACGGACCATCCAGCCTGATCAAGTTGTCAAGTCAGTAGCCTCATTGCCATTCACCTCCTGATTTTCCAACTGCACATTCTGTGTGTCCTTTTCCTCTCTACCATTGAAGCCATCCATGTTTTCCCCTTGTTCACTGGCCTGTTCATCCTCAATTGGTTGATCCAACAATTCACCCAAATGATTCTGTATGTTTCTAAATCTATTCACATCGAACTTCCTTAAAAATCTTCGATTACAAATGAAGTATTTACCATCTTTGTCTATGCACACAATATAAGACCTTGGTCGATATCTGTCTATTTCTATTATTTCACCAGGCTCCCAGTTTCTTTTATCAATTTGGATCATCATTCGGTCATGTGGATTTAATACTGTTAGGTCTCTAGCATTTCTATTGAAATAGTGTTTCTGTACTTGTTGTCTTTGCAAATGGTTTTTTCTAAATTTGTCTATAACTATTCTGGGTTTCAAGAGATTATTCCTTGTGGGCACTTGCCCTCGCAACCTATGACCATAAAGAAGTTGTGCTGGGGATGGAATACCTTGACCTAAAGGTGTATTTCTGTATTCCAACAAGGTCAGATAAATGTCCTTTGAGTCATAGACTGCTTTCTTAAGTAATTTTTTGATAGTCTGCACATGCCGTTCAATAAAACCATTAGACTGAGGGTTTCGTGGAGAGCTTGTCTTATGTGTTATTTCCCAGTGTTCTAGAAATTGTTGAAAATGTTTGTTTACAAACTGGGTATCATTACCTGAGTATATAATTTCTGGCTTGCCATGTCTGGAAAATATCGATTTCATAGCTTCAACTATTCTGGAATGAGTGGTGTTCTGATTCATACAATAAACTTCTGGGAATCGTGAAAATGTATCTACTACTAGTAGATAGTCTTTACCAAATAAATGACAGATATCAGTTGTGACAATTTCCCACGGTCTTGTGGACAGTTCTCTGTTAATAAGCGTTTCTTTCGGATTTGAATTTTGATACTTTAGACATGCTGGACAGTTCCTGACAACATCAATTATTTCTTTTTCCATGAACGGCCAAAAGACATGTTCTTTTGCTCTCCATAATGTTTTACTGATTCCCATGTGATTATAATGTAGTCTATCAATTGTCTCTGCTCTCATGCTCTTGGGAATAACTATTTGTTCACCTTTACATACTATGCCTCTCACCTCACTCAGGTCTTCACGAAACTTCCAATATGGTTTGACTAGTGGATCTATCATGTTTTTCTGTTCTGGCCAACCTTCCTTTATTATATTAATCAGTGACTGTAACTCTTTATCTCTTTTTGTTTCATGCCGAAGTTTTTCAAATTTCTTTGGAGTAATGCTACAGTAATTGATAAGGTTAACTTGAGCTTCAACATCAGATTCCATCACATCAAAATTCTTGTCCACATAGCTAGCTCGAGAAAGGGCATCAGCCAACACAAGTTGTGATCCTGGTCTGTATTTTACTCTAAAATTATAATTTTGTAAGGTTATCCTTAATCTCTGAAGGCGTAGTGGGCATTTATTTAGTGGCTTTTGAAAAATTTCCTCTAACGGTTTATGGTCACTCTCAACTATAATTTCACGACCACACACATACTGGCGAAAACGCTGGCAGCCAAACACTATTGCCAGTGCTTCATTTTCAATTTGCACATAATTTTTCTGGGTCCTTATCCTTAGTTCGTACTGTTAAATCACACGCTCCTACACCTTTAATCTATTTTCACCATAATTCGAAATCATAATATTCGTTTTCTTTAGCAGTCTTCTTAGATTAAGAGTCTCAAAAATATATACAGGGATTACATTAACGTGTGCACCAGTATCTATCTTAAAACTAACACTTTTATCACAATCTAAAATTCTTAAAGTCTCTGACCAATCTAGATCAACGTTCTTACCTCTGCTTTCCAGTGACGCCAGTACGTAATCGTTTGTACTCTCTGGCGCCATTTCCAGTACATTTATTATGTTATTTCGACACATTTTCGCAAAATGATTGCATTCCTTGCATTTATTACATTGTTTGCCCATTGCTGGACAGTTCGGTTTATTATGTCTATAACCACATCTGCAATTCCGTTGTCTTCCTCGGAACTTATTTTCCAGTCTTTGATATCCATGCTGATTGTTCTGTGATCGATGGTTCTTTGTTTCTGCACTAGACCTATTTTCCTGAACACGTGATTCATTGAGACATTCTCTTGATTTTCTTTTTATCACATTGACTTCTATATTCTTCGGTTGATTCGACAAGAGTTTAATGTGGCTCTCTGTCTGTTCAGTGACTCTGCACATGTCGATTACCTTTGTTAATGATAGCTCCGTTTCTCACAGTAGACGTTCCTTTACCTTCTGATCACGAATACCACTCACAATTCTATCTCTCAATAGTCGATCCCATAAATTCCCAAATTCACAATTTTTTGATAGCTTATGTAAGTTTGCTAAAAAGTCATCAAAGGCTTCGCTCGGTCCTTGCACACGAGTGTTGAACTTGTGACTCTCAACACTTTGGTTGCTTTTCGGAATAAAATGCAACTCGAGTTTTTCTAGAATTATACTTCTTCATCATTAAGTTCTAATGTTTCAAAAATTTCTAGAGCTTCTTCCTCCAAACAATGGAGTAAGATGGCGGCTTGAGTTTCATTGTTCTTTGTTGTGAGTTCGGTCGCTGTCGAATAAAGTAGATAACTTTTCTTAAATTTCTTCCAATTCGCTCCTAAGTCACCTTCTATCAACATCGGTTTTAAAAGAGGAAGATTTTGAAATGTGGACATGTTGAATCCAGTACGGGAGAATCTTTTGTCTTTCTCTAAACGTTTGTCGACTGCGCCATGTTATGTTTATTGTATTGTAGTTACAACCAAAGTGAGCGCTCAGGTACTGTTCCCGTGATGCATCAGCAACAATCACCATCTGGTGGACTCACTAATATTTTACATTTCAACATCTCCAATACAATACACATTACACCCCTACTTTGATAGAATGCAGGTTTCTAGCAAAGCAAATGGACAGTTACAGATACATGGCCCATGATTTATCAGGTAATCAAGGACTTGCAGAGTTTAACTATAGTGAAGTAGTTCTCAACTTGTTTCTGTGGAACACCTGTGTTCCACAAAAGTGTTTTTTAAATTTTTATTGCATATTTATTCAAATGTACTCCACACAATTTGTATTAATATTAATTACAAATACTTTATTGTAATAAGAAAAATCTTGTTACAGGGGGTTAGCTTTAAAAAATACAATTATTACTTATTGGAACATTTTTTTTTTAAATATCTTGTTACATAAAATTTACTAAACATAACATATTAATCATTAAATCTACATATCATATTTCAGATTCATTAAATTGAAACAAAAAAATTAAGATTATTATACATCTTACATAATGAAATTTTTTCTAGATTGGTTCT